ATTGCACTASCTGTCCRAGGGGGTACAAGTTCAAATGTTGGAGGTTCTTTTAAAAAGGGAGATTCATAGAGGAGAGTGGATGACAAAGAGAAACTTTGGTGCACTCACTGTCAAAAGTCCAAGCACACTAGAGACACATGTTGGGATCTTCATGGCAAGCCGCAATGGGCTCAGGAATTAAGTAAGAAGTCTGATCCGAGTAAGAAGCCAATCCAGCAGAGTCAAAAGAAATATAACTCAGCAAATGTGGCATCTCAAGAGACTAGTCCCATGGTACCCCAAGAGCGACACTCTGGTTCTGACCCCAAGGAAGAGATCATCAACTCCTTTCGTGACCACTTGGAATTATATGGTAGGACACTTCGCCAGATGGATTCTGGCCCTACTCCTTCTACCTCCTTTGCGTCTACATCAGGTAACACTGCCACTGCCTTCTATGTGTCATCTCATACATCTGATTCCCCTTAGATAATTGACTATGGAGCCTCAAACCACATGAGTGGTAAGTCAGATTTATTTCAGGCATATAACCTCCTCTCTGGGAGAGATAAGGTGAGACTGGCTGATGGGTCTTATTCCACCATAGCCGATCAAGAAACCATCTCCCTTCCTTTTTTTTGGTCTTACCCTCTCTAATGTGTTGCATGTTCCTAAATTGCCTATCAATTTACTTTCCATTACCAGTATTACTCATTCCTTGAATTGTTCAGTGACCTTCTTTCCTTCTTCGTGTGTATTTCAGGATTTGACCTCGGAGAAGACGATTGGTAGAGGAAGCATGGTGGATGGCCTCTACGTGTTGGAGAATAAAGTTGGTTTTGTGGCTAGAGAGTATTTAAGTTCTAGTGAGAGTCATGCCCATTTGTGGCATAATTGTCTTGGTCACCTTTCATTTGAGTCTTTAAAACTTATGTTTCCTGAGTTGTTTAAGTCTTTGTTAGTTAGTAAATTGCAGTGTCATACATGCCAATTGAGAAAACATTGTAGAAATTCCTTTCCTTTAAGAAATAAAAGATCTGAATTTCCTTTTCTTATTGTCTATTCTAATGTTTGGGGCCCTATTTCTCTACCTACTGAGATTGGATATAAATATTTCATTACTTTGATCGATGACTATTCTAGATATACTTGGGTGTATCCTATGCGATCTAGAGATGAAGTGCCAAAGATTGTGAAAAACTTTCAACGAATGGTTTTCACTCAATTTCAAATTGAAATTCACATTTTCCAGTCAAACAATGCAAAAGAGTACTTCCATAGTGATCTCACGGAGTTCTTTGCTTCGTGTGAATCTCTTCATTGAAGTTCTTGTGCCAGGACACCTCAACAAAACGGTGTTGCTGAAAGGAAAAATCATCATCTACTTGAGGTAGCTCGTGGTTTATTACTTAATATGAATGTTCTGAATCATTTTTGGATGGATGTTGTTATGTGTGCTACATATATCATCAACCATATGCCATCTCGGTTACTAGAGTATAAGGCCTCGCATCAACTCTTGTTTCCTACAGCTCCGTTGTCCCCCATTCCAATGCGTGTCTTTGGGTGTTGTTTCTTCGTTCATGACTTGTCTCCTACTCGCAGTAAACTCGATCCCCGTGCCACTCCTTATGTTTTTCTTGGTTATCCGTTATCTCAAAAGGGTTACCGTTGCTATGATCCTGCTTCACACAAGTACTATGTCTCCATGGATGTATCATTCTTTGAGAGTCAATCCTTCTTCTCGGTTTCTCCTCAGGGGGAGAGTAGGGTTGAGGAGAAACACACTCAGGTTCAACTACCTCCTCTTCCCGACCCTTCTCCATTTCGGGTCTTTCTTCGCCGCCATAATAGCCAATAGAGTTCAAGAGCCATGGAACTTGAAACTATGCAACCAATATCATTGGACTCTCCAGAGGTAGATCCTCCTCATCAGCCAGGTACACTTGTTCCCAATGATATGCCTAAATCTCTTAACATTGATCCTCCTGTTGTTAATGATCTTGATGTTCCTATTGCTAAGAGAAAGGGTGTTAGGTCTTGTACTACTAATCATCCTATCTCTCACTTTGTGTCCTATGATCATATTTCACCTTCATACCATGCATTCATTTCCTCTATTGATAGTGTCTCTATTCCTAAGAATGTGGCAAAATCTTTATCCAAACCTAAATGGACAGATGCAATGAAGGAAGAAATTAATGCCTTACACAAAAGTGGCACCTGGGAGTTAGTGGATCTTCCTAAAGGAAAGGAACCAGTGGGTTGCAAGTGGGTATTCACAATAAAGCATAGAGCTGATGGTTCAATAGAAAGATACAAAGCTAGATTGGTGGCCAAAGGGTTTACACAAGTGTATGGAGTAGACTATGCAGAAACCTTTGCTCCAGTAGCCAAGATGAATTCAATCAGAATCCTCCTCTTACTGGCAACTAACCTTGATTGGGAACTTCATCAGTTGGATATCAAGAATGCATTCTTGAATGGTGACCTAGAGGAAGAGGTTTACATGACTCAACCTCCAGGTTTCGGTGCCAAAGGTAGTGAGCAGAAGGTGTGCAAGTTAAAAAAAATCTTTATATGGGTTGAAGCAATCACCTCGGGCTTGGTTTAATAGGTTTCATTTAGCAGTGCAACAGATGGGATTCAAACAATGCCAGTCAGATCATACTTTATTTGTGAAAAAAGGTGAAGGGAAAATTGTAGTTTTAATTGTCAATGTTGATGACATAGTAATCACAGGAGACTGGAAGATTGAAATACAGAAGCTGAAAAAAATCCTATCCACTCAATTTGAGGTGAAAGATCTAGGCCCCTTACGTTATTTTCTTGGAATTGAAGTTGCTCGCTCAAAAAGGAGCATCTTTATTTCCCAAAGAACATATGTACTAGATCTATTAAAGGCAAGTTGGGAGTGAAACCAATTGATTCACCCATTGAACCAACCATCAGCTAGGAGACAATCAGGGGGAGTGTTTGAAAGATGTAAAGAAGTTCCAGAGACTTGTAAAGAGACTCTTATATTTGTCTATGACCAGACCTAATATTGCCTATGCAGTGGGTGTTTTTAGTCAGTTCATGCATAATCCTAAGACAATTCACTTTGAAGCTACAGAAAGAATCCTTAGATACCTCAAGAAGTTCCCAGGAGTTGGTTTGCTTTTCCAGAAACATGGGCATTTGAAAGTGGAAGTGTATACAAATGCTGATTAGGCAGGGGCAATCGATGATAGAAAATCTACCAGTGGGTATTGTTCCTTTGTGGGAGAAAACCTAGTCACCTGGAGAAGTAAGAAGCAAAGTGTGGTGGCTAGATACAGTGCTGAGGCAGAATACAGAGCCATGTCTCATGGAGTTGCTGAAATGGTGTGGATAAAAAATTTGTTAAGAGAGTTGGGTTTTGCAGTTAACAAACCTATGTCACTCTATTGTGACAACAAGGTTGCTATCAACATTGCTGCTAACCCAATCCTCCATGATAGAACAAAACATATTGAAGTGGACAAGCATTTTATTAGAGAAAAACTTGTGAGCGGAG